GAGAGAGAGAGAGAGAGAACGAAGGGAATAAGCGTGGAAGAAGCAAAGCGAGAGAGAGGAGGCGAGGTGAAGCGAGATTGGAACGCGTGGAAGCGAGAGACGTACACTTTTACGCGAGCCCGCGGATAAAACGAAAGAGAGAGAGAAAGAGAGAGAAAGAGAGAGCGAGATAGAGCGAAACGGAGAGAGAGAAAGAGAGAGGGAAATCGATCTTCGGGACACGGAGAGGAGAGAGATGAAAGACACTTACGGCTTCCCGCGGCGGAGCGGGGCAGCGTCCGTTCGTCGTCGTCGTCCTTTGGCGAAACGTCGTCGTGAGCGCGTCGAGACGAGAGAGAGCGCGAGATACCCTCGTGAGAGAAGGAGTGCGTGTGTGCGTGGTGTCGTAAAAGTCTTTCCCCGCAAAACTCTTCTCCCGGCTGCGAGATCGCGAGACGCTCGAGAGACCCCACAGTCCGAAAACACCAGCACGATGCGGGAAGAAGCACCCCCTCGCGAAGCGCGAACTACCCTTCTTCTTCTCCTTTAGGCCGGCTGTCCGCAGCGGCGAAGGTTGCTGCGGAGGCTGCGAGCTGCTCTCGCAGACGCGAAGAGAGAGAAAGAGAAACGGGTTCTCCTCGTCAGGATGCGTTTCTCTCCTGTTTCCCGACGGCGGGCGTCACATCGACGATCGGCCAGCACCCGGGGCGGGCGATGACGGTGGTGCAACGTCGCGACGACGGCGGCGAAAGCTGCTGGCAACGGCGGGACCAAAACGGCGAAGCGCAGGAGGAGAGAGAAGTAGGCCGGTTAACCGTTCAGGCCGCACTGAAGAGAGTCGAGCGAGTCGCGGGTTAGTGAGGGTGAACCGGCGGCGGGTGGCCGCCTGGCATCCCTCCTCTCGCATCCCCCGACACGCACCCCGCGCTTCGCCACCAGCCGGAGCACCTTCGACGCCCGCCACCCCCCGTCGACCGCTCGCCGCTCGCTCGCTTGCTCTCTCGCTCTTCCCGTGTCGTCTCGCTCTCCCCTAACCCGTCGACACGGGACGGAGAGCCTTGGAATTGAAAAAGACAATTTGTAATGAAATAATGTTATAAATTATTGTATCGCAAGTTTACGATGTTGTACTCTAACGAAATAATTAAGGCTCTCTCTTCTCTCTCTCTCTCTTCTGATTTTTTAAATCGTACAAATAAACCACCGATTTTATCCGGTGCTTTCGCTGCCATTCCTTAATTCTTGACTTTCATTTTTAATTAGGTTTTTCACGTGAGAATATTAGCTAGAATAAAAAATTAGTAGCTTCCGATTTGTTTGATATCAAATTGCAGATGGTTTAAAAGAAATTTTTGCGCGCGTCCCTTTAATTCTCTCGTTGATAATTCAATAGCTTATCAGAGGTGCGCTTTTTCACAAAGAGAAAGCACGCCGTTAATTTATTTAATCGAAAAAATCGCTTAAAAATTCAGTCAATAAACTGCGAGCTGGTTTGCGCGCTATAATCAATTGATTAAATCTAGGTAAATGAAGAAATTGTTTTCAACTGATTGCGTTACAAATTACAGCAACAAGCTACTTTGTGTAATCTAATCTACGAACGATCGTTTCGATAAGACACGAGATTCATTGTGACTGCGCCGAACAAAAGCTCTTTGAAACAAAATAATTGTTGTTAAATTGCACTCAATTACGCCTCTTAATAATACACGACGAACGAGTTGTCGCAGAGCTGTCGCCAGTGTTTTACGTGTTTTTTTTTCCTCTCACCTGTTTGCCGACTTTCGCCGTCGATCGGTTAATAATCAAATCGTTTGCGCGTTATCGCGATCGATAAGGAAAAGAGCTTAACGTTCAAGTAGATCCCATCGCTGCGCAGCCTATATAAAACGACTATGCTCGCACGATTTTCTTAATTACAGTCCACGGCACAATTATTACCGCAGTCGCACGAATGGTAACGCGAACCGACGATTCGTAATCGGCATTCGAGTCCTCGCATGCGTGTTTACAAACACAATATTGAGTGTAAATATCAAACGACTCGTCCATACGCTCGATGCATATAAATTCGCAAATCTCGTCGTGTGATTTAGTTTGTGCTACTATAGAGTTTGTATTACAACGCTACTGCGTTAATTCGCGAAACTTCTCTCTCTCTCTTTCTCTCTCTCGTGCGATCGATCGCTCGCGATAATAACTCGCGATCGCCCAGTGATAGCGAAAGCCGTTAACTTTAAGGAAGATATCTCGGCCTCCTTCGTCTCTCGTTAAATCGGCTGTGACTTCCACTTTGCGCGGAAAAATGAGGTTCGTGGTGTTCGGGCTTATTCTGCTCTGCTGCTACGTCTCGGCAATAGAGACGAACGATTATTGTAAGTGGATATCTGTATTTCTCTTTCTCTCCTGTTCTAGTAGGTATTTCTCTAGAAATATATATCGCTCTCACATTTATCCCATGTCTATCTTTGCGCTGCTTATTTCCGAACAGCTTACTTTCTAAGCGGTCTATTTTTGGACATTTTCTACGCTTTTCAGCTATCTATTTTTAATCATATCTTTTTGAGAAGTACTTTTGATAAAGAACTTTCTCTCTCTCTTTCTTTCTTCACCTCTCTTTTTCTTTAAGAGATATGTTCTTGAGTCTATTTATGAATGATCTATTTTTGCGCAGTCTACGCTTTAATAATATCAACTTCCGTGATTTTGTAGATTCTTCCACATTTCGCGTATTTTTTTTTCACCTCTAAAAAATATTTTTATTGGAAACGATTATATTTCATTGGAAATACATCGTTCAATGCTTTTCCGTTCGATTCTTTTAGTATCGATTATATATCACGCAAATATTTTCTTTCAGTTATAGACAATCACCCACAGAAACGTACGAAGTTTGAGAATATGCTTGAGAGTATGAAGATTATTATGAGGACTGGAAATGATACTCTCGGAATTCCCGTCCTCGATCCTTTCACTGCGGATGAGATTCCAATTCAAATTGACGAAGAAATGATAAAGTACATGTTATTTTGATTCTTTAATCAACTAACTTTAGTCAATGACGTCTTAAATAAACTCACACGCCAACAGAAATATCTTTGTAATTCTAAATTTTTTACTAAGAATTTTATTGGCATTAAAATTATTGAAATATTATCTGAAAAATTATGTATGTGCGTGTGATCTGCTGTTTATTTCTCAGCTTTGTAGAGCATTTATATTATTTTAATATACATCGCGTGTAAGTTATACGCATGGCAGTCAACGTATCAAATAAGATTTTCAGATGCGATAAAATCTATTTAAATAGCGACTTTGATTAACAATTTCTTTTTGGCAAATCTTCAGGCTAGACGCGCTTTTGGAGAACGTGAATGTACAGGGTTTATCCGAGTACGATGTAAACAGTGGTGATTTTAAAATAGTTGGTCTGAAAATTGAAATGAACCTTACTTGGCCGCTAGTAGTCGCGAGTACCAAATATGCTCTGGAAGGTAAAACCAGTGACTTCGAGATTTTCGGCAAAGGTGACGTAAAGTGAGTATTTGTTTCTTTCAATCAAAAGGATACCAAAATCATTATCGTTCAGTTTTCCATTTCGTGAAAATACGAAAAAGCACTACGTATCAATTTTCACATTTCATTTATCTATCAATAAAAATATAAAGATCAGAATGTAGCCCAAAATTATATCAATTATTTGTCGTAGTATTTTATTATATTTAATTACATTAACAAAGAAAATATTATTTATTATTACCGTAACTATAACAATTATTTCTGGGTTTTTTCTCGCTTCAGAGAGATGAAGGAGAAATGGAGAACATTTGCTTTCCATTTCGCTTCATTTATATTTAAATACAATGCTCTTGAAATATGTACATGAAAAAAAAGAGAGCTGAAATGACTGACAATGAATCAGCCGTTTTTCATTCAGTGCCTTCCTGACTTTATCGGGCAACGCCAACTACAACAAAGCGCGTTATTAAATCATAACTGTACTTATCTGCTTTATATAAAACACACCGATCTCGTCCAATTCTCTCATTATAATTGTATATACAGGCTCGGCCTTAGCCTGGATTTGCGATAATTTATCATTTCATTATCAAGGTTCATTGCAAATTATATAATAAATTTGTACTTAAATTGATCTCGTCTGTACACAAGCACTCGAAAAATAAGATTAAAGGAAAGCACTGATAAAACTGCTTCAAGATTTAAGATAAGCATTTTATTGTCAAGCGCTAACTTTTTTTAATAATTAAATTTTAAAATTATAATAAAATAAGTTTAATTATTAGATCAATAGTTAAATATAAATCTCGATAAACATCATATATAATAATCACTGAACAGAGTCAAATCTGTGGATCGAAACGTAAAACGAAAAGTAAAGAAAACAGCTCGAAGTATTTGGCCTCGTTTTAATATTAGATTTTATACAATAAAATTTTCCATCAGTTTCTTAAAGTATTTAATAATTAATGATTAAACTTATTTTATTCTAATTTTAACATTTAATTATTAAAAATAGTTTTTATATAAATTTGATAATAAATTTTGATAATGAAATGATAAATTATCTCAAATAAGGCTAAGGCAATTTAAAATAAAAATTCTGATCATAAAGAATTAAAATTTATGATATAACATATTCGATTTTTTCAGTTTATCCGCGAGGGGCTTCAATTTCGTGACAGTAATGTACTTTATGATAAATGGCAAATATCTCAAAGTAAAGTCCATGGAAACGGAACTTTCCCTGAAAGAGCTAGATGTAAGTAATCGAATTACTTGTTCAAGTAACTTTTTTTAATTAATCGTGTATTTTTATTTATTTTTACTTTTTAAAATCTAACTAATATTTTTTTATTATTTACAGTTTAAGGCAACTGGCCTTTTCGACGATGAGGAATTATCCGAATTAATAAGCGCCGTAATTTCCGACATGGTGCCTCAGCTGATCGACGATTATCAGGACACGGTTACGGAAAAGCTTAATGGCGTCGTCATGAATGTACTCAATGAGTTCCTCTCCGATAAAACTCTCGGGGATTTATTGAAATTGTTAGGTTAGGTTAACGGTATCAGCCGTTTTGTTATATAAAGAAACGAAAGAAATTAGTTTATACCTATTTCGTAAGTAATTTTTTAAAATTATAAATAAAAAGAATTTTAAAGTAGCTAATATAATTATTAATATAATCAAAAATGTGTAAAAATACTTAATTTTTATAAAAAATGTTTGTTTTTTTATTACAACTACTTTTGCAATAATAAATTATTAAAAATTTTATACACGTCAAATCAATATATCTTTGTATAACAAAATTAATTTTGTATATATTATACATAAATTTTTATATCTCTTAAAATAAATAAATAATTGCATACATTTTCATCAACCTATAATATTTATTCACCTTTATACGCGTCGAGTGTCTTCTAGAATATTCTCTTTATTCAGTGAGAGACTCAAACCTCACACTTTGCACAAATTTAAATCCAATTTAGAAGTTTACGTTTTTATTTATACGCATCAAGTATTTAATACTATTAAATCAATCAAATCTATTAAATATGAAGAAATAAATAATTTCTGGTTCGGATATAAAAAAATGATACAAAGTATTCTTTTTCTTTATGCGTGTGGATAATTATTACGCAATTTGTGACAATTTTAAAATTCCTACATCATCAAAAATAATACTTTACATTATTTTATGTCACTGATTACGTCACACTGTGCAATAAGCCATTGTTATGCTCTGACGGGACTTCACAATTCTTTTCTTTCCGAATGAAAAGAGCGATAAGAACCATATCTGGCACGAGCAGAGAAGGCCTAATAAATTCTAAACTATTTAAATGACGGTGCTACGTTCTGATAGAACTTTACGAGTCTGCTTCACGCAGTCCTGAATAAAGACAAAAAAATAGTACCTGATAAACAAGTGTGCTGATAGCTATTTTAAACTATTTAATGTCCATTGATTGTGAGAAAGAGCCTCATTGTACCAATCTATGTTTGAGAATAACGATCTGTATCGAGAGACAATCCGTCATTCTAAGAATTGAAGACGCCTTCAATTCTTAGAATGACGGATTTTATGATGTTAGACTTCTTCTCCAATTGTTATGGATATTTCTCTAGTAATCCAAATAACACTTGTAATCTAATCTGCAGCTTACGATAAGACAACGAACTCGCTACAAAGTTAAAAAAAAATTGGAAAAATTAAATATAATGAACACTTGATTACGCTTTCGAAACACACGATATTATTAGCAATTGTTCTAGAAATCGAAAGTAGCTCTAATTAATTTTATAAGACAATGATAAAAGATCCTTCGAGATCTGATTTTTATTGCCGATGACTAAAAATCGAATCGTTGTACTTGAGATGTACATGATAAGAAATCTTAATGTCTCTAGGTGAGTTCGATATCGATAGCTTATATATAGCCCATTTTTTTTCTCCACGTTAATTTACGAAACCACTTTGAATGACCATAATCAACTATTTGTGATAATTTGCCATTGATCAATAATAAAAATGGCCAATTTGTTAGGAAGATATGTCGATCTGTTCTTTACAAATAGTATTTTTAAATTATTATATAGTATTTTTTAGCAATTTTTCTCTAAATATATTACCCTCATATTAATTTCGTATCTATCTTCATGCTATTTGTTTTTTAAAATTTATTTTCAAGATATCTGTTAATAAATATTCTATTTTTCAACTATTCTCGATCAAACGCTCAATATTTTCGATAGTGAGCTTTAGAAGATATATTTCTGAATAATCTATTTATGAATGGATCAAAAATGTATTGTTCAATCTGTTTATACGTATGATTGTTTTAGCATTGATTAAGATAACAATATTTATTTGCAGATGTATGTGAAAGATAATTAGATCATAAATTTTCGAAAAAATGAAGACCTTATTGAAGTCTGAAAATGGATCGCTCGGCGTTTGATTTATTTGTTGCGGAGCACCGATTAAGATTACCAAGAAAATATTAGATATATATAATGTGTCTTTTAAATATTAAATTCAATAATATATGCTCTAGAATCTATTTTGTATTTTTATATTTTATTTTATTATACTTTTAATTATGTTTTTATATTTTAAGCCCTTTTACTGTCCCAAAAGAATGAAGCTACGACGTTTCGTATTATAAATTATAAATGGTCTTACAGTCTGTCTTTCTGTCCCGTTCATTTTCCTTATTTTTTAGTCAATAAGATGTATACCTCCTGCTTAGTTCTTAATAACAATGTAAGTGTTTTCTTCTCGATATTTTTATTGAAAATATCACAGCGATCTTATAGACCGTGTCGTATTAGTTGAGAAAGAAAACCGTGTCAAAAATTAATGAAGACTTACAATTCTCTTATTTTTTTATATATGTGTTCTCGCACACTTAGGGGTCAAAATAAATCACGTTTTGGGGAAATAAACGTAATACCATGCTATTTGCATTGCGCTGCATAACGCATTGTTTGTACCGCGCTTGTTTTTCTTCTACTTATTTTTAATGTTATTTTTCATTAAAAATTTCATGCGCCAAGTCTCTTCGACAATAACGAAATTATCTGATTAACTGAATGCCGTGATTTCCAACTAGATCCCTGAACTATTCGACAGTGCATAGATAAAATAAAACTTTTTATTACATCAATGATTAATAATTTTTTATTTACTCAAACTTTAAGCAAAATAATAAAAATTCTGAATTATTAATGTGAAATATTTTATCATATCTACTTCGCTATATTTTGATTAATTATGACCATGATTCTAATTGATTAAGCAATAACAATTGTGTCTTTTATATAAATATATTATTTTGTTTCTCTTTTATGAAATTAATCTGGAAAAAATGTGTACAAATATTTATTCTTTGTATATTGCCACGTTAAAAAATTGTCAAAAAATTAATCATTTCCAATTTTTATATAATAAAAATAATAGAGTATTTTTTTCTTTTACCGTGTGCAAATTATTAATTGTGCAGTTTATAGGTTTAAAAATTTCTACATTACCAACATTTATTACAAATTGCACTAACAATTTTTAAATTTCTATATTCTCAACAATAGTTAAGATTATCTTACAACGTTTGCAAAATTTCCTATATTATCAACCACTCTGCTACATTTTCTTCCAACAATTTTTAAATTTTATGTTACAGCACTTATTTCTTTTTGTTATAAAATAATAAAATTTATTATCTTATTGTTTAAAAATATATTAAGCAGAAAGAAAGATAAATCTGTTTTGTCGGCAAGGAATAACCGGACATTAGTCAGCGCCAACTTCTTATTCGTTACGAACATAATGAAAAATTTTATGTTATCATTATTATATATATGGTACATTTGTAAATAACAAATAAATCATTATACATACCAATTAGGGAATTGTTATCTGCTCCAAATTCTGCTCCACTTCTGCTGTATGGACTCTGTCTTGGATTATTCCATCAGCTTCATTGGACAATTGATGAATACCTATTTTACACCTATTTACATGCCAGTCAACCCGAGCATGATTTTACGCGGACTCACAAATTTGCATACACGAAATGTAAACATGAGATTAAGTGCATTTTGTGCTGCGACACACAGACGCCAGTCACGCACATAATTTAACGTAGAATATTACATAGATGAATAAAAAAGTTTGGCGAACAAGATATATATTTTCGGTAATCATGCATGCATGTGAATAAATTCACTCACCGATGTTGTACCCTAGCTAAGTACGCTGCTGCCTCCGGCTGCACCTGAAAAAATTAATATACATATAAATTATTATATGTAATAACACATTTCACTTACATTATTTATTACGTATTATATTTCTTTCCATTTTGATTATATAATAATTATACTCAATAAATTGAGTACTCACCAGCTAGGGTATTGTAGTCTGCTCCATCCGCTGCAGATTCTGCCGTGATATTTCCATTGCATTAGCTCTAACAAAGAATGGATGAAAGCTTCCTGGAAATCCACTCGCCTTTGTTTACACTCGCGCACTTCACTTTCAAAACAACGTCAAAAATCCTACCGTAGAGTACAAAACATAAACGCGAGATGTACAAAACTCACTTCGTACCGCGTCGCGTCCACGCACATATTTGTAGCACAGAATACCACACATACAGCGATCGACAATACGAGTACTCATTGTTACGAGTACTCAGAGCAAGATTATTTCGGCGATTGAACAGAAATCAACGGATACAGACACGTACGCGATAATGTTTTACCCGATATAATTCCGACAAACTGACTTTTCAATATGTACATCTAATGAACATGGCAGTTTCATAGTTTCAAGCGGTATACCACATAGTGGTCATTTTCGCGTGCCCGGTGCATGAAAATTTGTACTTACTGTACTACAGCAATTTGAATTCGCTTTCCCGCACAAAGCGGTTGATGAAACACCGGTAGTCACGATCACGTACGCAGTAAGTAATACTTTCTGACAATCGCCCGTTACTTTAATCGACACTCCCGACAAAAACTCGCACTTATCACATACTTTGAAGAAGTAAATTACAGTTAATTGTGGTTAATTGTAAAGCATTCACGTTCGCGTTCAGAGTTGACGAACTGTGATAGCAGAGAGAAGACTGAGAGTGGACATGCCCGCATTTTACGTATTTCTGTGGGCTAGCGCCTCTATGTGCACAAAACGTGCACATTGAACTACGTAGCCAATGTCCACGAATCCCGTAGGTAATGTCCACGATCTTTTGGGTCTTTTCCGTGCTACATCCACGACTTTTTGGTTCCGATATGTGCTATATCTACAAAGTGTCGGTAATGCATACTTGTAAAACATGATTATGTATATCAGAGCTCGGCGTTAGTTGCACATTTCAGCTCGATTCTTGAGATGACGCCTCCCGCTCTTCCATTACCGCGCGGCCGAGCCGCTAATAGCCTTGACTCAGGAGCGTCTGTGTAACAAATAGGCTGATGATGAGCGGGCACCTTTCAGAAAATAAAATTTTCTTCGTTATAGAAATAATATTTATTTTTACTAATTATAATTAAATATCTTTATTACATTCATTATAATAATTTACCTAGATAATATATAATATTAAAAAAATAAAAATAATTAAAATAAATCAAATTATTAAAAAATTAAACTTTTTAATAATTTGATTAAAAAAAAAAAATTTTTGTGGTAGATCCAACCATAATTTTATAGTTAGATCGACCATAATCCAATTGTGGTAGATCCAACCAATAATTTTATAGTTAGATCGACCATAATCCATTGTGGTAGATCCAACCATAATTTTTAGTTAGATCGACCATAATCCATTGTGGTACCGCCAGCGGCCGCGCGGTAATGGAAGAGCGGGAGGCGTCATCTCATGAATCGAGCCGAAATGTGCAACTTACGCCGGACTTTGATATAAATGATTGGTGGTCAATAAAATTTCTACATTATCAACAATAGTTAAGATTATTTTATGCTTTCAAAATTTCCTATATTTCCAACAATTCTGCTCTCTCTACATTTTCTTCTAACAGTTTCTAAATTTTTATGTTACAGCATTTATTTCTTTCTTGTTCGAAAATAATAATTTATTATTTTGTTGTTACAAATTTATTAAGCAGAAAGGAAGGTAAATCTGTTTTGCCGGCAAGGAACAACCGATCGGACATTAGTCAGCGGCGTACATACGGATGACAAATCTGTCGCGATCTGTCTGCGGTGCTACCGGGATCATCGTTATCGTAACGTTCTACATCGGACGCAACTCGTTTTATTGCCAGGCGCAGTAATCATGATCCTGCTAGAGATACACAACAGAATACTCGAAGAAACGTTAGCGAATAAAGTCAAGAATGCCTTGTCGGGGTAAGTATTTCACATATGCACGATGTTCCGCGTGAAAATTCCTTATCTCCGTCTAACCTCATTTTAGGAGGATGTGGCGCCGGGGCGGTGTCCATTATGTTTATTTCTTTATGAGAAATTCTTATTCCGATTAATTTATTTCATTTATGACTGTTGTTTTAATTTGATCCTTTTTCTAACCTTTTAATAGCATTTCGTTACACTTTTGCTTCAAAAGCTTAGCTTAAGATTTCTTTTGAAGTATTCTTCTCAGCTTTTCATCTAATCAAACCTAATTTTTTTAGCAATCTTGTCAAATTGATGTAATGACTATCTTTCTTGTATTTTATTTGTAGACACAAACAGGAGTCGACTGATGTCATTATAGCGGATTTTGATGGGGTGCTATTTCACATTTCAAACCTCAGCGGAGACAAGTCAAAGCTTAGAGTAAGGAAACACGTTGCAAGCAGTTTTCATGACATTTTTTAAATAACATTCTAGTATTGTAAATTTTATTTTTTACAGATAAGTATTCTGCTCAAATTTTACAAACAGTTGCAAGAACATGGTGCGGACGAGCTGCTCAAACGAGAATATGGGTCTCATCTCATTGCATCAGAAAGTGGTCAGACATCTGTTTTAATATTTATTTTACAGTTTTTGTAAATGAGAGCCATATCACTTTATATCTTTCTACTTTTTAGGATATAATGTATCGGTGCTGATAGACTTGGAGAAATTACCAGATGATTGGGAGTCGTTAGTGAGGAAGGTTGCTCTCTTGAAGAGGCACTGTTTCGCCAGTGTCTTTGAGAAGTACTTCGACTTTCAGGAGGAGTACTGTGATTCTCCAGGCAGGCCAGTTGCAAAGAGGGCTGTCATCCAGTATCGAGATGAGGAAACAATGTGAGAAATATATTTTTACTCTTGTAAGGCTTTGATCATTATTATTATTAACTATTATTTATTTTTATCCAGGTATGTGGAGGCTAAGAGCGACAGAGTCACAGTAGTGTTCAGTACGATATTCAAGGATGAGGACGACATGGTTATCGGCAAGTTGTTTCTTCAAGAGCTGAAAGAGGGCAGGCGGGCGAGCCACACTGCTCCGCAGGTTTTGTTCAATCATCGTGAACCGCCGATGGAGCTGCAGGATTCTGAGGCAGCAGTTGGAGATTGCATTGGTTACATCACGTTTGGTAAAAAAAAATTATTTTATTTTTTAACTCATCTGTTACGTTTGATTTTAGCGATTTTTTTTATTGTATTTTTTCTAAGGAAAATTAAAAATGAGTTAATATGTGTGTTAAAATAAGAAGAATGATACTTGATGATCCTTGAGCTTATATAACATTTTACAGTGTTATTCCCACGTCACACTAATCGAGAGGCTCGCGACAACACTATCGATTTGATACACATGTTTAGGAACTACTTACACTATCATATTAAGTGCAGTAAGGTTTACATTCACTCAAGAATGCGTACCAAAACGACGGACTTCCTCAAGGTGCTGAATCGAGCAAGATCTCAGACCAAGAACACTGAGAAGAAGACCATCACGTGAGTATCCAATCATAAAATGTTATAAGTGAATTGGAATAAAAGTAGCAGATCTAGTTTAATCGATTCTGACATAGAATGAATAAATAAATAACAATTTATATAATTTTTAATTACATTTAGTCGTATTATACTATGTATGAGTTACTAACCTAAATCTACAATTCTTTGCAGAGGACGAACGTTCATCAGGAAAGAATGAATGTACAGGAGAGCGAGTGCTAACACTTCCTAAAGAAAGAGAGCGAATTGTTATATGGTTAATGCGGTCGGCAGCGTCGACCGTCTCCCGTGAACGAGATTTCCTGTGAAGGCATTCCACGACTCGCGCGTAATTCGACGAGTTAAGTGCTTCGGACCTTTGAGTTTTAAAACCCGTTTCCTCGAACAGTGTCCTGTATACCTTAGGAAAGACAGAGCGTTAAGTGAGAGAAAAAAAGGGGAATCGGTTTTCGCGTCGGGTCGCTCCGACGTGACGATACCTCGATTGTTCAGGAAAACGCCAGGAATTTACGCCTGCACGCCGACGGTCGACTGTCATCGCTATTACGAATATGAGAAACGTCTTGTTGATTTTCACGGCGATCTAGGATTCAAATACAGTACTAGGATCTAAATACAGCTAAATAAGACTGCAAGAAGTTTGTATTCGATTACGTATTGCGCTGTTTGTTACCTCGAGCAATTTATTGTATGTTACGACATTTTGAACTACATCTGAAGCTTCGAACACGTGTACATCGAACACAGATTAGTATTATGATGACGTTCTTTGAACGGAATCACGGAGATGTCATTAAAGGAACGTGAGAATACGTTCGAACGTTCAGTCCGTTTGAAATCTGTGATTTCAGCAAAATTTTCGGAGCAACATTATTACGGAGCTGAAACGCGAAATAAGGGAAGGACAATTTTCATTTTATTTTCCGCATTGCATTTCGATAGATAGATCGTCGGGCGAACAAATATTGTTAAATAGTGCGATTGTTTCCTCTTTCGATATTTTTATCGTCTACTTAATGACTATACATTCAATTATTGTGAAATAAAACGATATTAACAATCTACAAAGGCGCTTCTACACCCGCACAGTATTGATCTGTAATGAATAAGCGGCGCAAAATAGGGAGTGTCAGGTACATGCCGTTTAATTAAGCAACCACACCCAGGCTTCTGACACTGCCGTGAATATTCGCCTCAGTCGGAGGTATCCTCTGGAGAGTGAACATGCGCCGACAATCGTACCAATTAATACACTTCGCGTAGCTAATTAATAATTTAAGTTGCAGGTGACGGACTGCTGAGATCCTGCTTTTGACATTCGAAATTTCCAATTAAGAAGAATATTTATATCCAGGATTATTTTTTGATCGCGCGGAACATTCTTGGTTAAACTCTCCCAGTTTAAATGTTCGTTTAAGCGCGATGGAAGAAACGACACTGCCAACGTTCTCAGGTGCTCCGTCCGTCTCCCCGTACACATCGAGTGAGGTCTCCGCGAGGATCGAGGACGGCGCGGAGGACGCGGTGCAGCAGTGGCTGGAGAACGAGGCGTTCCCGGGCTTTCGCGTCTGGCAGCTCGCCGGCATCGTCCTCTCCGTGCTGCTGAGCATCGTCATCGGGCTGTGCTGCTGCATCCGCTTCCGCGTGCCTCGCACGAAGCAGCAGATCGAGGCGGACTACATCCGCAAAAAGATCACCCGCAACTTCCGGAACGAGCTGTCGAAGATCAGTAATACAGAGATGGACGAGATGGATCTGCAGAAAGGTAAATAACGCGACTTTTTTCGTTCGAGGAATATTCCAGAAATCGGAAGTAGTTACAAAAGATTAAACGTGATTAATTGAGAAAAAAAGGAATAAATAAATATTTAAATCTTGCAAATTCAATCGAGATAAATAAAATAATTGTATCTAAAAAAAATTGAATCTAAATTAATTGAAAAATTACAATCAGTTTCACATTTTTTGGAAAATTCTTCGAAAACGAAAATCTATCAAGTCTCGAATTCGTATCAATTAATAATTTATATTAATTCCTGCGCTCTCAATTTTTGATTTATCAATTCTCTGAACGCTTACGCGTTCGCCACATTCTTTCTTCTTTTCTCAACGAGTTCCGGAGGCGCCTCGGAATACCGGAAACTAAAACTGCAACCTTTGCAGCTCTGGATAGAATCCGAAGCGAATTCGAGGGGGAAGACACGTCCGCGATAGCAAAGGAATGCGTGGAATTGGCACAGCGGAACGCCGCTCGGCAGGGATTTCGATCCAGATTCAACGCCGTGTTCGGCGGCACTCGTGTGCGTTTCGGTCCGCGCGAGCACGCGGAATTCACAGCCACGATCTGACGACGATCGTGATTCTTCGAGGCTTAAAACGACTCTGCTCTCTTATAATTTTAAGAGTATGAAAAGAAATACCGAGAAAAAAATCCTATAAATAAAATATCTTTTTTTTTTAATTGTTACATTTCAACACAAAGAAAAGATTCAAAGTGAGAAGCTTCGGAAGGAGAAGGTCGGCTTGTGCGGAGAGCAATAAATTGCGTCTGACGCTTTCATTGACTAAATATAATCTTTATTTCATAGATATATTTTACACAAATTCATATACTTTAGCATGCAACAGTGATCTATTAGCAACGAATAGGTAATGCTCCGAGAAGCACCACGGTGTGTTACAATGTATTCTTTTTTTATTTGCTTTTTTTTTCTCTATCGTGTCGACATTGCTATCGATTAAAACTTTTATATCGATTAATCATTTGTACTCTCTCGTTTAACCGCGCTTGTCTTATTATCGCATACCGATTGATCTTAATCATCTGTTCAATAGAACTCGTCGAATTGTAGATCTGATGACGAATGACGATACGAAGGCGCGAAAACTGTTGATATAAAAAATATGCTGGCAAAAATTAACGGAAATTTGATAGAGAAGATTGCCGTATTCTGCTAAGCGAATTAGTTTGTACGTGAGATATCAGGTTCATGCAGCAGATCTTTCGCGCTCCGCAAATTTGCACTCATCAATGAACGACGAGGATCGCAATTAAAAATAAAAAGTTTGACGATGATTTTATTTCTGAGTAACGCTGCGATAAATTTTGCGATGAAAAGAACAGAAGTAGGAAACGCAACAAAATAAAAGACAACGAAAGATAGATTTATGAAAATGATTTATTAAAGTCGGAAAACATACAGAAAACGGAATTGTTATACGATAAATCGTCCTGCCCATCAGAATTTCTGAATAAAAAAGGAGGAAAAAAAAGAGAATCAAGATTGTCGACTGAATTAAAAAAATCGCAGCGGATCGCATTCGCGCAACAATCGGAAGTAACTCGAGCGCGAGAACTGGCCAGTTAAAAAGTTTCCCTCTCAAACGAGCGAAACAAGTACGTGTGCGCGACTCATCATCTCGTCTCATGTTTCATAAGCGCTACTGACTAAGAGAACAAAGTAGGAACAAAATAAAAAACATACATGTCGTTCCGATGCTCGTCGGCGTTGACTCTTATTAAATCGTTTTCTTATTTCACGATGTATGTCTGCGATGCATGCAGCGTTTAAACAACGCCGCATTGCCGATTAACAATACTTCTTTCTCCTTTTCAATCACGTTCCAAGAAAAAGATGATTCTCATCTCCTCGCGTGACGTCGATGATAGAATTTAACAAAATAGACGATACGATCTCTGAATTCGATTCAAAGATTAATTCGAAGATTAATCTACAAGTTGTCGAAGCCCTCTTTTTCTCCCCGCTATGCGAAATCTCCATCCGTGTAAAAATACATTTCAAGAATTAAAACAATGATTACGCCTCCGCTAAAGATAAATCCAATTCATCGTGATATTGCGTCTGATTCGCTTAAATCTTAATTTTGAATTCTTACATTCTAGAATCTTCGAATGCGCGACCTGCATTTTGCATTCCGCGGAAATAGCTTGGATCCTTACGCTCTATGACGTTAAAATGTGTTTTTTTTTGTTTTTTTTGTTTTTTTTGTTTTTTTTTTCTCTTAAAACTTTAAGATCTCTGAATCCTTACGTTCTAAGATCTTTAGCGTACTTAGAATCTACGGTCTTTGGATCGTTAAGTTAGATTCTAGGAACTGTGGATCCTTAGGTTCTACGGTCTTTAGAGATTTTTTGGATTATAGAATTTCTCAGCGTCACTTAGACATTCTAGAATCTTGGAATATTTTTGTAATTTCGTCGAAAAAATGAAGGAAGAAGTATAAAAACGAAAAGCGCGACAGCCTAAAAACGCGAAATAAAACCTCGACAGCGAACGCATCGTTCGCCTAGTATTTTTCGCAGAAAAACTACGAAAGTTAAATTCGTAGTTACGAATTTCACTTTCATAGTTGAAAACTACGAAAATTAAATCCGACGTTCTCCCCGAGCGGATTATTGAAAAGAATACGCGCGGCGGGATATAAGCGCGTACACGGGAGAAACTCCGATCGACTAGAGGATCCAACGACGTGCACGGGAACACATCCTAAACATATACAGTAAACAGGTCGCTTCTTTCGCGAGATGAAAGAACTAGAGAATTGCTGTTATAAAATTTACTCTTTGTAGAAAGTCAGTTGGGATTCCGAGTGGGTCTTGGGATGCGTAGGAGTCGTCCTAAAAATCACCAGACCCCGAAAATCGCGTAACTGAACTTCCTGAAACTACGTAAGAGAATCGCGACTATCTTAAAAGCCGCTTGGAAAGTTACATTTAACGCGAGTGTCAATGCGAGAATGGATTTACGAGATTTACGAGATGCTTACGGGATTCCTCTAATTGACGAAACCTGATCGGAAATGACAGATAGAAAGGGAGGGAGGGAGAGAGAGAGAGAGAGAGAGAGAGAGAGATATACAAGCGAAAAGTGAGAGAGAGAGAGAG